ACACAAGTAGGGGGAGTGGAAGAGGATGAAGCAGGACCCTGGGATCATGACCTCAGCCAAAGGCAGACACTTAACGACTGAGTCACCCAGGCACCCCCAAGAAAAATTTCTTTTTAATCATCTGGCTTTTCTTAGAAGTTTGAATAAACATGGAGGCCAGTTAGAACAACATGCTCTGACTCCTGGGGCTTCATGTCCTGTTGGAAAACCTGATTTATATAAAACACCGCATCTTGGGACGCCTGGATGGCTCAGTTGGTTAAGCCACCGCCTTCGGCTCAGGTCATGATCCCAGAGTCCCTGAATCGAGTCCCGCATCAGCTCCCAGCTCTGTCAGGGAGTCTGTTTTTCCCTCTGACCTTCTCCCGTCTCATGCTCTCTCTTTCTCTCAAATAAATAAATAAAATCTTTGAAAAACAAAAACAACCAATCCCACAAAAAAACACCACCACATCTCTATGGCTATATACTACTGTTCCCTTCTATATGAAGCTCTTTTTCTCAACATAACTTTCTTCTATTTTATCTTTTGGATATTGACATATTCACACTGTTCAAAAACGTTTAAAGTTCTCACTCCTACTTTGTTCCTGTCGCCCAGTTCCCACTCCCCTAGCCTCTAGACATCTATTTCTGTTAGTTTTTTATATAACTCTCAAGAATTCATTTTTTAATTTATTTTTTATTTTTTTTTTAATTTCTTTTCAGTGTACCAGAATTCATTGTTTATGCATCACACCCGGTGCTCCATGCAATACGTGCCTTCCATAATACCCACCACCAGGCTCACCCAACCTTCCACGCCCCGCCCTTTCAAAACCCTCAGATTGTTTTTCAGAGCCCATAGTCTTTCATGGTTCGTCTCCTCCTCCAATTTCTCCCAACTCCCTTCTCTCCTTCTCCCCATGTCCTCTGTGTTATTTCTTATGCTCCACAAATAAGTGAAACCATATGATAATTGACTCTCTCTGCTTGACTTATTTCACTCAGCATAATCTCTTCCAGTCCCATCCATGTTGCTACAAAAGTTGGGTATTCATCCTTTCTGATGGAGGCATAATACTCAATAGTGTATAAAGATCACATCTTCCTTATCCATTTGTCCGTCGAAGGTTATCGTGGTTCTTTCCAGAGTTTGGCGACCGTGGCCATTGCTGCTATGAACACTGGGGTACAGATGGCCCTTCTTTTGCCTACATCTGTATCTTTGGGGTAAATACGCAGTAGTGGAATTGCAGGCTCAAAGGGAAGCTCTATTTTTAATTTCTTAAGGAATCTCCACACTGTTTTCCAAAGTGGCTGCACCAACTTGCATTCCCACCAACAGTGTAAGAGGGTTCCCCTTTCTCCACATCCTCTCCAACACACGTTGTTTACTGTCTTGTTAATTGTGGCCATTCTAACTGGTGTAAGGTGGTATCTCGATGTGGTTTTGATTTGAATCTCCCTGATGGCTACTGATGATGAACATTTTTTCATGTGTCTGATAGCCATTTGTATGTCATTGTATGACACAGAAGTGTCTGTTCATGTCATCCACCCATTTTTTGGACATGATTATCTGTTTTTGTGTGTGTTGAGTTTGAGAAGTTCTTTATAGATCTGGATATCAGCCTTTTGTCTGTACTGTCATTTGTGAATATCTTCTCCCATTCTGTGGGTTGCCTCTTTGTTTTGTTGACTATTTCCTTTGCTGTGCAGAAGCTTTTGATCTTGATGAAGTCCCAAAAATTCATTTTCGCTTTTGTTTCCTTTGCCTTTGGAGACATATCTTGAAAGAAGTTGCTGTGGCTGATATTGAAGAGGTTACTGCCTATGTTCTCCTCTAGGATTCTGATGGATTCCTGCCTCACCATACACAAAGATAAACTCAAGAGTTCATTTTTAACATAAATAAAAGCAAATACAAATGTGTTCCTTTATTTTTTCTATTTTTAAAAAGTGTTCCTAGTCTTTGCACAGTTCTCTTCCTTGTTTTTTCTATCCCCCCCCCCCCCCCGCCCACCACTTACTAATGTACTCTGGAGAGCTTTCATGGCAGTGTTAACGGTACATACAGAGCTTCTCCTTTTTTGTTTTTTAGTTGTGCAGTATTAAGTGATCGCTTTGAAACACAAACCTACTCCTGCCTTCTCTGCTTTCCTCTTTTAAACCAGAGGTATAATTATTTACATTTTACTCCCTGTACTACTGTCAGTTATCACCTTTGTTAGTAACTATCCTTTGCTTCTTGAGCATTGTTAGTGTGTAATGATGCGTTTGAATTTCTTTTTTAAACAGCAGCCAGTTAGTTCCTTTCCCTCTGTTTTATTACAATACGACTGACATAATATTTCATAAGTGTAAGGTATACAACACAATGATTTGATATATGTATATATTGTGAAATGATTACCACAGTTAACACATCCATCACTCACATCATTTGAACTTTAATATTGTGTGCTACATCTTTCAAATATTGGCTGTAAGGAGGGAAGGGTGTTGAGCCGTGAACCCTTTCACACATTGCTAATGGGAACATATATTGACATGGACTTTTTGAAAAGCAGTTTAGCATGTGTTCATCAGGAGCCTGAAAAATGTCTCTACCCTTTGATTTGAGTTTCATTCATAGGGCTTTGTCACTAAAACAGTGTTGAAAGTTACAGTCAAAGATTTCTAAATAAAAATGTTCACTACATGATACTTCTAGTGGTGGAAGTTACAAGTATTCTAAATACCAATAATTGAAAATAAGTTAACAAAAAACATGTACATGATGGATTGCTAAGCACATATTTCATGCCTTTGATAAATTTTTAATGACAGGACAGTACACAGGGTGTGCTTTTGAGTTAAAGGGGCAAGATGCGCTATTTTTGTTGAGGGTGATCCTGTGAAAGGAACGGCCAGTTGAGATATAGGGGATTATAGTCCACTAGTAAATGTGTGTATGTGGTGGGGGGAGCTAGGGAATTGGGGATTAAAGAAGCTATGTATGTATCTTTGATATATCCTAGTATTGAGAGTATATGAGTTTTTATGCACTCACATTTTGGGGAAGATGTAGAGGTGGGATGGATATTATGTGTATATACGTTATATGGAAAACTCAAGCGTGACTGTGTCAGTTTCGTTTTTGATCACTCTCATGAACATTTGAAATGTGTTGCATATGTAAAGCTCTACATATGGACGTTAAATCCAAACCCCTTCCTCCAATTAGATTTTGAGAGGATTGCAGCTAACTTCTTGTTAGGTTGTTTTACAATTTCCAAACTTATAAAAATGCAAATACATTGCTTTCATAGTCAAAGGAACTGGATCATGAAGGGACATTGTGCTATGCTAAGAAATGCGTGTGTTCTTTCAAGGGCAATGGGGACCCACTAAATAAAGAGGAGAACGACATGATTGTCTTAACAAGAACACATACTAAGACCTTGATCAAAATAGGTGACTATGGGGTGCCTGGGTGGCTCAGTGGGTTAAATCCTCTGCCTTGGGCTCAAGTCATGATCCCAGAGTCCTGGGATTGAGCTCCGCATTGGGCTCTCTGCTCGGCGGGGGGCCTGCTTCTCTCTCTCTCTGCCTGCCTGTCTGCCTACTTGTGATCTCTGTCAAATAAATAAATAAAAATCTTAAAAAAAAAAATAGGTGACCACTTTGACCTCAGCATCAGCCTTGTTTATCTTAAGCCTTATAGGGCTATAAAAGGAAATTAAGCAGGATAAAAAATACTTTGTTTGCAAGCCAGTTTCAGAATAATACAACTACATTTCTGAAATTGTGTACCAGTGAGGGAAAAAAGGTAACTTTTTCAGAAATTAGAAAGAGCTTAATTCAAGGAACTAAGATAATACATCAAGCTACCATACAGTAGTTCCCTTGTTTTCTGATACCACCAAGTGTAAAGATTCCTATTTGACTAGCTTTGTATTTCTGTCCATACTAACTGTGCAATCTTGTTAGTTATTCATAGGCTTCAACTCAGTGATCAAAAACTGTGTGCTCATGGCATACAACAGATTTCCATCTCAGAAGCACATGTCATTGAGGCTTTTGGGGGGAAGGTGGAGGAAATTGGTAGGGCAATCAGTATATGAATGTTTGTTCTTCAGACATTCTGTTTTTTGGATGAGAGGTCTTTCTGGTGACTTAATCTCTCAAAAAGATTTTTTTCTATGGCCATTATAAAATTACTTCACCGCTTAAGTTTGTTCTCCATGTACATTTCCCAGATTCACTTTAGAAAAAGCAAGCCTCTTGAATCATGTTCTACATGCTGTGTTTAAGATACTATTGTCACCCTGTCTGAATTATTTAATATGTGCCCTTAAATAAGAAGATTGATAAGATTTTGAAAACCTACAGATGTGTTTGCTGCTCTTCAAGAGCATACCCGACTCCTGGTGACTGAAGAAGGAAACATGAAGATGAGAGGAACAAAAAGGGTTAAGTTCAAAGTAAGATGATGCTTGTTTATTTTCACCTTAGAGGCAGAGAACATTTTTCTCTTGTGAACTGATGAAAAGATGCTTTCATGACAGTGACTACAGCTGTGGAATATCTGAAAGAGACTGCTGAGGGGAATAAAAATGTTGCTGCTCCCGGGAATCGGTGAAATGTTGACATCTCAGATGGGCTATACATGGTTTTCAAATGGTTTTGGCAGAGGGAGCTTTCATGATTGTAAATGTCAACTTCTGTAAGTGGGAGGGAGAATGGTTATGGCTTACTGAGAACTGAGTCCCTCACCTCATACATAATCTGATCCTTCCAGGTTGTGCCCCAGAGTTCTGGGGAGTCTAGGTGAAGAAATCATTATGTCAGGATTTGCCTAGACTTCTGCTGGATATCCAGTGAGAGGATGGTGCTTGGTGCCTACGGATATTGCTTTTTTTTTTTTTTAATCAGTGATCTCTGACAATAAGAAATCAAATCTAGTTCAATTTGGAAATCTTTACATATTGTTTCAGATGAGCCTGTCTCCTTATTTGTTTGTCTTCCCTCTTTAGATAAAGAAGAAGCAGCAGGATGTGGTTAGATTTCTGGAAGCCAACAAGATAGAGTTTGAGGAGGTGGATATCACGATGTCAGAAGAACAAAGACAATGGATGTACAAAAACATCCCCCCAGAAAAGAAGCCTGCTCAGGGCAACCCTCTGCCACCTCAGATATTTAATGGTGACCGATACTGTGGAGTAAGTAACAGATTGTTATCACACTGTTATTCGGGTGATTAGAAACACGTTACCTAGAGTGAAGTCGGGTTTTTTCAGGGAGGACTGTGACCTCCTCACCCTGTACCATTCAGGTTCACAGTGTAAAAGAGGGTGTATGAGTCCAAGGACACAGACGATGTGTGAATGTGAGTGCATGCTTGTCTGTCTTCCTGTCTCTCTGCTTGAGGAAAGTGGTGGGAAGGGAAGGGGAGTGTTTGTGTTTAATGTGTTCTAAATTTTAAAGCAGATTTTTTGATTAATACATTTTGGGGGCAGAATGGAAGGGATAGTTGTTCTTGAATCTTTACTCCTCTATGTTATAAAAAACTGCTAATAGCCAATTATAAACCAGAATTGTTTTTTGTTAATTTTTTTTTTATGGTAGTGAGTCAGATGGGTCATTATGAACACCTGAGATACATTAGGTGCCTTCTTTCTGTATGTAGCATATGAGAAGATGAAGTCACATTTGTCTAATTATCTATTTTACTTCTCCCTGGGTTAAGGAAAAAAAAACCAAGCAACTTCTTCCTAATGAGTAGTTAGGATTTGCCCTTTTCATACTCAAAGTGTATAATTAAGTGTTTATTTTAGGACCTGTACTACAGTTCTTTAAGGGTGGCCTGGAGAAGGGGAAGGGGCTCTAGTACTGAGATGTTTAAGGTGAAATAAGTAGCTGGGTTATATTGGAGTGGAGAAAACGGATAATGATGCTTTAGATACCTTGAAAGGAAACAGTTTCCCTATGCATAAGAGAGAAAGAGATGTTGAAATGTAAAATCATAAAGATTGTGCACAGACTTCTTGAATTCATGTCAGGTTAAAATCCTGAACATGGCGCTAGATTTAGATAGTTCTCGTTTGACTTTATGTTTGTGTTGACACCTTTGGGAAGTCATTTCCCTTAAAGTATCAGTTTTCTCATCTTTAAGCAAAGAATGATAATATCTGTCTTACTTCCCAGGATATTTTGTGACTATAAAGTACTTTTTAAGAATAAAGCTTATTGTTTTAATTGTGGAATTTTTTACATTGTGATCTCGTATTTTGTTAGGGGAGTATGTGGTAATTGAAGGTATATCCCATTCATGATTACAAACCCTAGAAAATGAACTCTCATGTCTGCAAACTGAAATGAGGTATAGCTGACACTGTATATAAACTGTACAGTTCAAAACAAAGCAAAACTCTTAGTCAAATAGTGCTATAAGACTTTAAAATCTAGCCGTTTTCTGTCCCTCAGAGTTCTCAGGTATGCGAATTCCTTTGTTCTGGTTTTGTAGTTGAGTCATAATTCTACTGGGTATAGAATTCTAGGTTGGGAAGAGTGTTGGTGGTTTTGCCTCATTATCATCTGGTGCCTAGTGCTAATGGAGAAGTTTAATGCCCTTTTCCTTGATCTTTTGTATGTTTTTGCCAGTTTCTTCTTTCCAGGTTTTTAATGTCTCTTATTCATAAGTGTATCCTAAAATTTTTTGGTGAATTACCATAATGTAATCTATATTATATGTACACTATGTTACACAGTTCACTGTGCTGTGTGTTCAGTAGGTCCCTATTATCCAAGAATTACATGATTATTAAATATGTTTTTATATTATTTTCTTTGAAAAATTTCTCCCTGCTTTTTCCCCCTGTTCTTTTTATCTAGAATATGTATAAATTTACATGTGAACTTCTTATACTGATTTTCTTATATTCTTATCCTTTTCTTTTGTATTGTCCTCTTTAACTTTTTGTTCTACTTTGTGGAAGATTTCTTTAACTTAATCTCTGAATTTTTTCATTGAACTTTTATGTCATCTTTTTTTTCCTTTCTTACATCCTGATTTTTTCTTTTTAATAATGTGCTTTTATAAGATGAGTATAAGATCTTAGCTCAGTGTAGATGTTAAATATGATTTCTTTAGGTTTTCTTCTCTTAGTAGTACTGTTCTTGTTCTACTAATTCACTTTTTTTTCACGTGCTTATTTTGGTCTTTTCTATCCTCAGATATCTGGTGATCCTTGTCTTTTGTTTAAGAGTTGAGGCACTAGAAAGCTAGTTAGAAGCTGTGTATGTGCTCATATATATGTGTGGGGGCTTGTTTTCTACCAGACTTCTCTGTAGTTTGACTGGGTAGCCTGTTATATTCTTGTGGTAGATACGGATAATAAAATCTGCAGGTTTTTTCTCAGTGATGATTTAATTTTTCTGGAGAATGGCTCTTCAGTCTCTTGCTTTGGGGATATCAGCCAGGCTACTGGAGTTCTGGACCTATAGGCTGAGAGAGCTGGAGGGTTTTGCTCACTGCTATTCACCTTCACATCACTGTTTTCACCCCCCTACCCTTCCATGCTGCTTGTTTGTAAGTTTATTGCTTTCCAGAAGCCATATTTATGAATAGTATACCTTCTAGTTCCTTTGGAGAGAGTGAGGTACCCTGGAAATCTAACTGCTGTGTATGTAGATTTTCAGTCTCCCTGTTTTCTGCCTTTGCCCACTCACCACACCTTCACAATAGCTAATGCCTCCATTCCTGACGTCTCGGGGGGGCCGCCCCCTGCAGCTTGTTCAGACACCGAGGTTTGATCTCTTCTGCTCTCTCATGCCCCTCACCATTTCTCTCCTCACTGCCTGCATAGGTGGTGGTTCAGAGCTATAGCAGTCTCCTAGTTTTATTTTATTTAAATGGTGTTTCTGTTGTTTTTTTTTTTTAATTCTTGTTTTGTTGATTTTTCAAGATAAAGGAGGAAGAGACATCTTTGTCTGTCATCATGAAAATAGAAGTCTATTTTTCAGAGCCCTTTTAATACAGGAATGTATTGAATGAATAAAAGAATATAATGTGAAAGAAAGTTAATTCCTTACCCTTGCTTTCACTTCTTTATGACTTTCTAAATTTCTGTGTATCTTTGGCTTACAGAGTCTATGGACATTTTTTTCAGATGGACTGTGGGGGCTGACGGTTAATCAAGTTTAACATTGATTAAACTGTGCTGGATAAATGGCATCCTCTCTGACTGAGCAGTGTTAGTCCCGTGGGGATGGTGACAGCAGCACTGGTACACACTCTGTCTTTATAGTTTGTGCTGGCGGAGTTTGGAAGACAGTGTCTGCTCTTATCACCATCAAGTCAATTCAACTTTGACAGAAGCAAAAGCATTAGAGGGCAGCTAGCCATGGTCTCATTCATCCTGCCTACTCCTGTGTGCCTTGCTTTACCTAGTGACAGTTTAGGAGTGGTCTTATCTGGTTGGGTAGCTTGTGGAAACCTGCTGCGTTGCAAGGGACAGAATCCAGTGAGTGTGAAGATTCTCCTGTTCCCCAGAATTGGCTGGAAACTTACTACTTTATTTTAGACTGGGTGAGCTAGCCATGGGAGACATAAACAGCTGCTAAGCTACTTGGTAATCAGTGCAGACCATTTCCTTCTCTCTGCCCTTTAGTATTTGAATAATCTGCCCGTAGGGAAGAATTCCACCACTGAATGGGAGCTCATTGGCATTTTCAGTCACTTCTTCTCACCCCAGATTTTGAACATTGAGGGGATAGGGCAGCAACACAGGAGCAGTTGGACAGGGGTCTTGGGGTCAGGAATAGCCATGGCAGGTGTCCTAATGGGGCAAATCCCTGGTGTGGCCGGGGTGTGTTCTTGGCCACCCAGACATAGAAGTTCATCTTATAAATTGGTTCTCCAGCTTTAATGTGGATTCACAACTTCCCGCTCTACTGCCATAACTTCCTGTCCTGTTAAGTTGCTAATGTCCATTTTAGTTGTTTGTAGTCAAGAACCGAAATTGCACAGACTGGTTGTTCTTGCTATTTCCTAGGAGTATCCCTACCATGAGCAAGATTCTTCTCTGGAAATGGGTAACCTAAAGGTAAACCATTTCTAGACTTTTCTGATGGGTTTTACAGTATCTGATTTGGTTTTTAGAAAGCCCATGGTCCTCATGTTCAAGGTTTAAGCTTTGTCTTCTCTGTGTGTGGAACTGGCATGTGTGGAGTGCACCAGAAGTGAAAATGGCACACATCTGCACTAAAGGAAAGTATCTTCTCCCTTTTCATTTCTTTTCTCCCTCCCTATTCGGTGGAGGGTGGGGAAGATTTGGATTTTTAAAAATACATTTAAATTAAATTAAATAAATGTTAAAAATATTTGATTAAAATCATACATTGTAAAAGTTACTATCTTACTTTTAGGTGTACAGTTTAGTAGTGTTAAGTATATTCATTGCTGTAATACAGATACCTGGAGCTTTTTCATCTTGCAGAACTGAAACTCTGTACCCATTAAACAACTCCCATTTGTCCTCTCCCCCGAGACCTTGATAATAGTCGTTCTGCTTTCTACCTATGAATTTGACTATGTTAGATACCTCATAGAAGTGAAATCATGCAATGTTTGTCCTTTTGTGACTAGTTTATTTCACTTAGCATAATGTCCTCAAGGTTCATCCATGTTGTTGAATGTCTTAGTCCATCAAGACTGCTGTAACAAAATGCCACAGACTAGGTATCTTGCAAACAACAGAAATTTATTTCTTACAGTTCTGGAAGCTGGAAGTCTAAGATCAGGGTGATAGTTGGGTTCTGATGAAGATGCTGTTCTGGATTGTAGACTTCCAACTTCTAGAAATGTCCTTACATGGTGGAAGGGGACAGGGACCTCTTTTATAAGGGTTTTAATCCTATCCTTGATTAGGATACCCTCTACCCTCATGGCCTGATCACCTCCTAAAGGCGTTTAAGCGTCAGGATTTCAGCATGAATTTCGGGGGATACAAACATTTAGCCTATAGCATTGAAGCAGGTGACAAGATTTCAGTTCTTTTTAAGGCTTCTGTTGTGTGTATATATCCATTTTTTAAATCCATTCATTCATTGACGGATTGGGCTGCTTCCACCTCCTTGCTGTTGTGAATGGTACTGCTTTGAACATGGGTTTGCAAATATCTCTTTGAGATTTTACTTTCAGTTGTTTTAGATATATACA